GTTCTCACCGGCGGGGCAAGTCGGTGCTCCACTGGATACAGGGTCGGTGTAGTCAGTGCTCCACTGGACACACCGTCGGTGCAAGTCGGTGGTCAGTAAACCGACACTGCACATCCCTAGGTGGGTCCTAATTTCTACCCTATATACGTCAACACTCCTTTCAGATCGTGTTTCACAAAAGATTAAAAATGTTCAATGACTTTTAATTAAAGTATCAAGAAAAAGAACAACTAATTGAAAAGATTATTATGTTATATGACATGCAACGAAATTCTTACAAAAAAAGCAACTGGTCGATTATAGACATGTGTTTTTTTCTCATGTGATAAGACATTGCTCAATATTTTCCAGTGGAACTATCAAAATTAAGAAGAACTCATCGAAGTAAAGCTAGTGTCCGTTATTTTCAATCTACTATAAATATGAAAACTAGATTGTACTCAGACTCGAGAGCTTAATACTAATCAACGGAAACTTTTTTTTTTGTTTTCAATATATAATGCTGAATAATATCGAATAATATGAACTAGGAGTTGGTAGAGAAAAAGAAAGCAATACAAATTTGACATTGAAATGTAATGAAAAACAGAAAAGATCAAGCATTTAAAGAACACCATTTTGTTCTGACATTGTGCACATGTCTCTATAGAAACAATAAAGTAAATAAATAGAGAAAAACAAGGAACATATTGATTTTCAATCAGAAAAATTATTGAATATTTCTAAGAGACTTAGATTTTTGCTTAAAATAAATATATGATTATCTTAGAGTTAGAATTGGACTGACACCGTGACCTATTATTCATATATCTTAGAGATATTTTGCTGTCGAGTTTCGTTACTGATAGAAAGCAAAAATAGAGCCTAGATGTTATTGTTTCTTTCTGATTACACGTAAAGTGTTTCAATTCTTTTTTATCTTTTGAAAGATGTAACTACAATATTTACTCCTTCTCGATATACGTCTAGCCACAATGCTTTTTTTGTCACCTTAGTTGCAAATCACATGCATGCCCTCACTGGGAAAAAGTAAAATTTGTTTAAAAGTAACTCGCAGCATAAGCTACAATTTGATCAGTAGAATTTTTAAAATACCAAGAGTAACTAATCAATAAATAATAAAATTTTTGTAAGTGGCTGAATTTATTTTAGATTATATTCTACAACATAAATTCTTCTAAAGACGACTATTTATCAGATTTTACAACTGGTAAAATATTAGCATAGGAGTCAGAGTACGACGATAATCCTTTTCATAGTAGTATGGACGATTATGATGATTATTATGATATGAACGATGATGACGATGATATTAATGCTGAAGTTAGTGACGATTCCAATAATATTGATGATAAAGCTGACTGTGATCCTGATGATTTTGGTGTGAAAGATTATTTGAATCCCGATGATAGTGATGCCGAAGACGATTATGATCCTGATGATTTCGATGTCGACAATTATTTGAATCCCGATGATAGTGATGCCGAAGACGATTATGATCCTGATGACTTCGATGTCGACAACTATTTGAATTTTGATGATAGTGATGCCGATGATGGTGAGAATTTCTCTGATTCAGAGTTATCAATTGGTGGTTTTGAAAGTTATTCAGCTGATATCCGTACAAATGATGCTGCTCATTTAGCACTAAATTCTATTTTACGTGATTTAATAATGTTAAATTCATCTGCAGACTTTATCAGTGACTCACTTCGGATGTATTTGACAGCTCCACCCTTAATCCAAAAAGAACCAAATACAGAAAAATATTGCTTCACATTGGGTCCTACATCTTATGAGTCCGAGAATATAGCCTTACCGAATCCAACAATCTACGTGGGCAATCTGCCTGCTAACACTACATCCAAAGACCTCGAGAATTGGTTCCTTAAGGAAGGCTATCGCGTCAACGAGATTCACATAAAAAAAAATCAGGTATGAATATATCTAACGTAAGATGAAGCTTCTTATTGATACTGATCGCCGTCAATTATTTTCAGAAAGATGCTTGTTATGCTTTTGTTCGTTTCAATTCTATTCAAACAGCATGTCAAGTTTTATGTTCAAAACCGAAAACATTTGTTTTCAAAGGCCAACCACTACACATTAATCATTCTCATAAGAAACCTTCTCAACAGCCTAAAAATATTCTGATTACTGCAACAACAAGTGATAACATATCTAAAATCATAAAGCTGAAAATTACAGACATTCACTATGGAACGCTCATTTCAAGGGCAAGTATGGGAAATATACAAACACAAAACAGCACTATTCATAATAACAGCAAATACGGCATCATTGCAAAGCGTCCTTTAACCGATAAACACACAAATGTGCACCTTAATATTTATGAGGTCGAGAAAAAGATAGCTATTACTTGTGATTTCCAGTTGTATTCTATGGATTATTTTCAATCTGCCACTACACTAAAATTTGAATGGAATTTTCGAGAGTAAGTTCTACTAATTGTAATAAATGACTAGAAACATTGATTTTATTCATCTTGCCGTATACTATTAACATATGTCCAGGTCGACTGATCCGACATCGGATCCGATAAAATCTTATTGGATTCCAGTCGGATCGGATGGGTTCCGATAGGTGCCTACTGTCGGATTGCTCGACCTGGGTGATTGAGGAAGAGTTTCGAATAATTTGGCTTGTTTTAAAAATGCTTTATATAATTTAGTCTGACAGCGAGAAAAATAAGTCCTGTATTAATTAATCAGGACGAAGTGTTTTTACTTATCGAACTTAAAAGGCCTCCAGTAATTTTGCTAACACATACTATATCGCGTGAGTCGGCTGAAGAATCTGATGAGAGACGCTTACCTGGTTGGGGACCTGTTGGCTATGCCAATACATGGCTCTTCAAAGTATCGATAAATGATCAGCAAGATGAGTATGGGAAGTTATTTGAAATTCTGCATCGATATAACTTATCATCAAGGCAGTTCTTTCAAAAAGATATTATTAATTTAACTGAAACGATGGAAGATGCTCGAAAGAATCTCGAATCGATTCCACTTATATTCAATGATGATTGGGTCAAAGAAAATCAAGCAAAAGTAGATGACTTTTTTAAACTTCGATGGTCACCATATCCTTTTGAAACAAAATTCGAAATCATGAAACTAATTTCAAAACGTATGATTACAGTTTATGATTTAATCACTGATCAACAAGCAGAAAATATCTTAAAATTATGTTCTATTAATACATTAATAGCTCTCACAGGTAAATGCCAAAACCAAAACATGCATTTCACTAAGATAATAATGCATATATTTTTACAGATGAAATTGCTGAAATCGCTCCTCAGCTGTTTGCCACAATATGTGACAATGAAGATGAAGATTGGCATAATGAAAATGAGCATGGCAGATCGAAATTAGAACTAAAAAAAACACAAATGCGAATCACTATTAAAAAACCGTCTACTGATGATCCATTTATATCCGAACATATTCGCTCATGTACTACTGGAGAACTCACTAATGATAAAGATGCTGATATTGCATCTTTGAAAACAGTGATGAAAAAACGTTCTTTACCATCAAAAGGATATCACACTGGAATATTTGGTCGTTTGATTAATTTTGCATTAAAAGAACTACTAAAAAAAAGTGAGCTTTACCAGACAAACACGACGAAAATTTATGTTACTAAACTTGAATTACGTACTATAAATGATAATCCATTTGTAATGCGCAAGATATACATTACGCCATCGACTATTCTTTATGAAGGTCCATATCATGAAGAAAAATGTGTCGTAACACGGCAGTTTGTACAGCATCAAGATCGATTTCTTCGTGTAACTTTTCGCGATGAAGGTAACATAATTTTTTAATGAAATGTAAAAACCACACAGTTTATTATTGCGTTGTCCTTTTACATAGACTATCGTGTGTTACATAATTATAACGATAATATGGCGAAAATATATGAAAGCATCAAAACGATCTTGAGAAATGGAGCTAATGTATGCGATCGGCATTATCAATTTTTAGCATTTTCAAGTTCACAGTTACGTGAACATTCCTGCTGGATGTTCGCGGGAGTTGCTGATGGAACTACGGCGGATTCGATTCGTGAATGGATGGGAGATTTCCGAAATGTTCGCCCAGTAGCTAAACTAGCTGCTCGTGTGAGTTAATAATTATGTACATTTATATTCATATTATAAGAATATCTTATCCATCTAGTTAGGGCAATCGTTTTCGAAAAGTTTGCAAGGTATTCAACTTGAAAATAATCGACGGGGAGAAATACCTGATTTAAAAACAAAAATAACACTCGGTGAAAATTCACGTGAATATTGTTTTACGGATGGCATTGGTATTATTTCGGCAACATTTGCAAAAAAATTATCTCAACAACTGAAGTTTACTCAAAAAGTTGGCCCATGTGCATTTCAAATTCGTTGCGGAGGCTATAAAGGTACTGTTTTATCTTAATAATGCGTTGAGACTTCATTGTAAAACAATTGCTTGTAGGCATGGTCTGCTTGGATATTGCTAATCGCATCACGGATTCTGATGTAGACGTCTACTTTCGCGAATCCATGAAAAAATTCGATGCAAATACTTTTTCCATTGATGTTGTACGTACGTCACTTAGCCCGTCAGTTGCTTATCTAAATAGACAAATTATTCTTCTTCTATCATCTCTTGGAATTCCCGATGATGTTTTTATTTCGTTGCAAGATAAAATGTTACAACAGTTAAAAGCATTAACAGGAAATTCACATGAGACGCAGGCAGCAATAAAAGAATTAAATGAATTTGGTGGCAATGGATGTCATGCATTTCTGTTTGCATATTTAAAAAGTTTAGGCGAACAAAAAGACCCGTTTGCTCGCCAGCTTCTTTTTGCTTTGAAAGCATTTCTTGTGAAAGAATTGCGAACAAAAGCAAAACTTCGTGTGCCAGATGCATGGTCTTTATTGGGAGTAATAGACGAAACACAAACACTTAAATATGGTGAAGTTTTTATTCAAATAGACAATAGTCATCATCGACCAGATGATCCTCAAAAACAAATTCTACAAGGTCCCGTAGTAGTAACCCGAAACCCATGTTTTCATCCCGGTATATATTTCAATCGACTTTTATTAGTTTTTTTGTATGGATTAACGTTTAGTTTTTGTTCTTATTTTTTAAGGTGATATACGAAAGCTAACCGCAGTTGATATACCAGCTTTGCACAGATTGAAAAATGTGATTGTTTTTCCTATGAATGGACCTCGTCCTCATCCAATGGAAATGTCGGGAGGAGATCTGGATGGTGATACATTCTGGATAAGTTGTAATCCAAAGTTAATATTTTCAAAAAATGAAGAACCATTTGATTATCAAGATCAAGAAGACCAAGCTAATATCGAAACACAATCACAAACAAATGTTCAATATACCATTAAGGATGTGTGTAATTTTTTCGGTGAATATATTGCAGCTGACAAGTTAGCCTTAAAAACACTTTATGAAAACTTTAATCATCAATTTTTGCTTATAGTCTCGGTCTTATTGCCAATAGACACTTGGCTTTTGCCGATCAATTGGAAAACGGTCTCAAACATGATAAATGCTCGCAATTAGCGAGAATGCACAGGTATGTTAAATTAAAAATACAGTGAACATTTCCACTATGTGAAAAATAAGACTGATTTAATACAGGAGTAATATCACTCACAAAAGCAGCCTGCAATTATTATATTTTAAGACTACGATGTGTTACTACACCCTTATTGGTACATATGTTTTAGTAAAGAATGTATACAAAATTATCAGTTCTTTGAGCTCTTAGAAAATTAAAAAATCAAACTCTCACTGTTTGTGGAAGATCTCAAGCAGTTTAGTATAGGTTTCATGCTGTGAGCTATACATAGAGTGAACTTTTCAGTAAAACCTGATGCCTGAAAAACAGCTCTCTTACATTTTAATATTTCGAAGATACATCTTCATTTTCCCGAGTAATATCATTCAGTGTGCAATCTTCTTTAATTGCCACGAGGACAATCATTCCGACCGTCGGAACGAGCATCTTAAAAGGCCTGAAACAGCTATAAAACGGCGTAATAAGGCAATAATTTTCACCTTATTTCGCCGTAATCCGTCAGCTCGTTTTACGACCGCTTTTTTCGCTAGCAAACACTCATCGTTTTTAACACTATATTCGTCGTTTTCCGAGCTGATGGAAAATGGTGCTTTTTTCNTTTTTTCAACGTTTTATACCGTTTACGGCAGTTGACGCACTGTTTTCTTGGACGTGGGTCTTCTAAAAGCCATAGCTGTCAAACTTTAATTAAAATAAAGTTCTAATTTTGAAAATAAGAACATAAAAATCTATCATCGATTTTACATAGTGTGGCTGTTGATTTTGCTAAAAAGGGAATTAATGCACCTCGTCTTACATCTGAACTTCGTCCCCTTAAGTATCCACATTATATGGAAAAGCAAGACAAGGAGTCCTATAAGTCAACAACAGTTCTTGGCATAATTTATGATAAAGTTGCCAGTTACCAAAGTAATCTATATATTAATTTGGAAGAAGAAATTAAAGCTACATCATCATTTCCTTATCAATCTTTCACTGTTAATGGAAGTGATACATATATGGAAGATGCGCGCATAGTCAAAGGTGAATATGATCGAGATTTGAAAAGACTTATGCGACAGTATGGTATTAGAAATGAAGCTGAAGTTGTTTCGGGTTATATTCTTCAATTTACTTCAAGACAATATGCAAACGAAACGAAAAACTTGTACGATTTAAGAAATGATATTGTACATGCTTACAGAGTTATACAAGAAAAGTAAGCGCATTAGCTCATAATTTTTCTTTGATTTGCTCGCTTTTATTAGATATTTACATTTGTTTTGGGAAGAATTCTATCAAGTGGCAAATGAATCACAAGATGAACAAGTGAAATGGTCTGAAGTATCGAAAAAATTAACTTGGAAAGGTCAGATTGATTTGTTAAAATTTAATGACAAGGAATCAGAATTGGAGGAAGCAAAGAAAAAAGCATCCGCTTGGTTCCGTGCCACTTATCAAACATGGATAATCAAAATCAACAAATATCGAAAAAGTCAAAAGAACAAACCAAACACGTTGGCAAATAATCAACAAACCGAAGAACCAAAAGGTTTCAAAGAGCTATTTAGTTTCGCTTGGATAGCCTATCCTGTCTTATTGGAAATTTACGACGAAACTCAAAGCAATGCCGAATCGAATCCAAAAAGAAGGAGACAGATGAAAAAGAAAAACAACCGAAAAAATATTTCTGCTGTACCTAAAAATAGTACATATAAAAGAAAAAAGTGAAAAATTTGATTATAATTGATTCTTATATGATTAGAAATCTATTTAAAGGGTACGATTATAACGCTAGTTTAGTCATTATTTGAATTGGAAACATTGATTAAAATTGATTTTTCTGTAAAAGTCGATTATAATTGATTATTTGATAAATCCATTATAATATTTTTTAATGTTAAGAAATGATTCAACTATAACGTTATAACTGCCCCACTGTAATAGATTTTTAACTATAAGATAATCGATTGTAATCTATTTTTACCTTTCAATTAGTTTTAATGTGTCATTAACTTTTAAACAATTTTAATCTAGAATTATCTTTTAATCGATTTTAATAATGCTTATCATAAATTATCAACTTATCACTGGACTTCAATGACGTAATCAACGTCATCTAGATATAGTGTAAAGCTGAGAAGTCCTATGTTTCTAGTAAAGATTTTGAAATTACATTAGTGATCGATTAAAATCAATAAGAGCCGTTGAAAATTTTTAAGAATCAATTGAAATTGATTCAAATAAATTAAAAATGGATTAAACTCAGTTTCGTGTAGAAAATATGTTTTGATTCAGTGCAATACCAGAGCAAGAATTTCGGATTCGGAAGGCTGCAAGTTCTTAATGTAGACTGCAGTGTTCATCCACTCCCCGGAAGGGTAAAATACATCTTTGAAAAATCTCTTTACGAGAACTCAAATGTCAGCAGGGAATAAACTAACCATCTTGATATCCCCTGGCTCCGCCAACTACTCAGTAATATCCCTTGAAATGTGGGTAGGTCTAATAATACATTATTCGAATTTTATCTTAGCGATCGTCATAATTTTGATCTCTTGGTTTTTATAATTTGTAGCTCGCACAAATATACAGTTTCGATAACCAAAGTATAGATCAGTGATTTATAGAGCGGAGAGGCATTTGACATTTTGCCACTCCGAAAACCACGTTTGCAGCGTTTTATCCAGATTTTTTGCTCCATGAGGGCAAATTCAATTGTCAGGAAAGTAACCAAAAATGTTTTAAGAGACGAACTATCAGGAGTCATACGGAGCCTATTATACTGACACTCTCTAAAGTTTTGTAACTTATAAAAAAAGTTAATTATTAATATCATTTATTGGATAGATATGGCCTGAGTTTATCAAGAACTAGTCAGCAATAAATATATCACAAGAAAATAAATCGTATCAGCAAAATACAACAAAAATACAAGACGAATATAAAGTTCTATTATAAAATTCAAACTGCCCCAGGTCGATGATTCCGGTCTCCAGATCCTTTCGGAACCGGCCTGGAAACGGCTTCTTTCCAGTGATTTCCCACCGGTTCCGTAGTCTTTCCTCTCCGATCCTGCAGGAAAAACAATAGGAAGTGGAAGCAGTATTCCACCCGGGAAAAACCGTTCCCTGAATCCTTAACTTCCTCGCAAATCCAGTCACAGGAAACTCTAAGGAACATATAATGATCCTAGAGGAACAGGGAGGAGGAAATCAGGAATGCCATCGGAAACCTTCACATCCAAAACGGAAAAGTAAAGGATAATGATGGGGCAAACTGGAAGCACAACGAAGCTCACGATTCTGCATCCGGAAACAAATATGAAAGATTTACAAAGATAACTAGAGATCTTTATTGTGACTGCCTTAGTTATAGGGTATTTCTGTGATTAAAAGATCCAGATCAATAGAAAATCATATTCTAAGATCTTTCTACGAATAAACGCTGCAATTCGAGCTTGATTTAAGCCCGAAATCATGATTTTACTAATAAAGATCTTTGAAGGTGATTTGTTCCATTTACCTTAATTAGATAATATGCTGCTCATGGGGAGTGCGACACTGATTGTAAATGTTGTTCAAGGAAGATCTAGAACAAGTCCAAAGTTCTATGTCTATTCTTGTTTTCAATTATTATCGATTAATACTAGAAATGGAGTTGGAATGATTTTGAGAAAGTTTTGGTACAAAAAAAAGTATGCGAAGTGTTACCTGTGACTTATCTGAACAGGTGTGTTGCGCATCTGGGGTTGGAACTTTGAATGCTCCCTCATGTGTATCGATTGGTGATCTTCAACGTGTTCATGTATCGCTAGGTCAGTCTGAAGAGTCTCAGCCAATCTTGAAGGCACTTTATTAGTAGCTGCATGAACGAGTGAATGAACGTCTAAGTGTCGAACACGCATATATATATAGATGATGGTCGGCTGCTATACAGTCTGAAGATTGTTTTAGCATTTCAATACTTTTGTTTGTGAGCGCTCTATTTTTTGACATATCTAACTCGGTTTGATTCGGAGAGAATGGTCTTTTTGCTCCAGTGCATACCTGTCTCATTCCGTTCGTATCTGTGGTAGGTATGCTTGAAGATCTTTAAAATGATAAGATTTGAGTATTTTGTCGGTTTTTAGACTTTCCAGAGATGGACGTGTAATTTATTGGTTTTGTATGGTGCCGGTTTTTTTGTATCAGATGTTTTTGAAATCTAGCAATTAAATTAATTTACATCAGCTCAGTAGTGTTTCCGTTTACCTAGTTATCGTGCATTGTCGCGTGAGATTATTTGCGCTAAATAATATCTTCCAATTTGAAGACACAATTCAATAGTCTATCGCGGTCTCTACTCAACTATTGCTCTCAGCAGTGGGTTTTGAGTTGTGCAATCTCTTGCGCGATATTTTGTATCCAATCTGCTTGTTCTCACACTACTGTTAAATTCGTACTCCTTAAAACTGCTTTAAGAATGACTTCATGGCCAATTTAGTTCAATGTTTTGAAGAGAGCCAAAATCTTTATCAATGTTTGTATGGAATTGTAAGGTATTACAGCCATGTAGTTATAAAGAATACATTTTCGAATAGATCCTATCGTTTCTGGTTGCGGGATTAAACCGTCTGAAAGAAAATTAAAACTGTCGGATCTGGGAGTTGCAATCGAATTGGAAACGGAAGGAACGTAGTTCGGATCCTGCTCCTGTGAAAAGGCGTCGGAACTCTTCTCAGGAGCCTTGCCGGGAACGGCAGCGGGATCCTGACATTTCATCCGGTTACAGGAATCAGCAGGGAAAAAACCGTAAACGGTAGCCGCAACCGGTTCCGGAATATTGCTTTCATGTTTTTGCCGGAATTTCACCGGAATCAACAGTTTCCCACCGTACCGTTTGGGCCTGGGTGCTAAACGAAGCGGTTTTATTTTTCCAATAACTCATGAGTTTTTCTTTCATTTCTACATCTGAAGTATCCCCATGTAATAAAAACCGCATGAAAATCGGCGGTTAACCGCGGTTTTACCGATCCGGTTACCGGCTCCCATTACCGCAAAACGGATAAATACCGCGGTTTACCGCAAAAATTGATCCGGTATTCGCAACATGGGTCTGCATCTTCGATTGAAACTCATCAGTCTACCAACGTGTTCAATTGTGGGTCGATGCGTGTGGAAGATAGTTAGGGGTAAGAGAAATGGTACACAGTCACACCCAAATTTTCATGATTTTGTTTTCCTACAACGAATTGCTGGAGGATGAACAGTAATAAATTTGAAACACGTATTCTCAATTCATTGAGTTCGCTATCCATTTCTTTAGAGTTTATATTTAAACAATGTTTCTGAACATTACAAGTCTTCTGCAACTATTAGTTCATTAAATTGAGTTTAAAATGCCAATGAGTTCTTTTGTGACTCTATTCTCGACTGATACGTGCATTATATTGAGTTAGTAAATGATTCGTATAGAGCTGTTATTTTATATATACATAACATAATTGATGTCTTTCTTATGAAGACATTTTCATATTTCCATTTAAATATCATTGTGATATTTGTATTTAAACAAAGAGCACAAGCAGACGTGGCAACTCAGCGGGAAGGGATTAACTTGCACGAGCAGGATGGAAATGTTCATTTAATTTGTTATGCTTTGGAGAGACCTATAAAAAGAAGGCTTGGATGAATAGTCATCAGTGACTTATTTCGTACTTTTCATTATTATATATATAAAACCTAGAGTTCGCATACAGCAATCTCACTATTTTTGTCCTATCTTCCACTGATTTTACCAGGAATTTGTTTAGAATGTCGATATATCTTATTATGATGTGGAAAAATGAAAATGAATGAATGAATGTAACGTTTGAAAAGTAATGTCAAAAGTTTAAAAACGGAATTTTAATTAGGCAAGCTTTTATTATTTAATTTATAATCAAACAACGAAATACTTCTATTGGATTGTTGAGAGCACTTGTATAACAATGAATTGTTCACCAGCGGTATCAATCGGGTCACGTTAAATTGATCATTTACTTGTTGATCGTCAATCGAAAAGTGCAAGAAGTCTTTATTTCTACAACGTATATATTTACCGTTATGACGTTTTTATTACAATATATTTTATTCTGTTTATTTTCAGGCTATTAATAAATAATTATCGAACGTTTATTACATAGCGGAAGATATCACTGAATTAATGTTGTGACAGCTCGAGATTTTTTCATTCACGTATCGCACACGGCACAAATCAACCAATTTTCTACGTCTACCCTTAGGTAACCTGAAAAAAAACATCTACGAAGAAAGGAATCACTCGAAGTAATAAAAAATATCATGACTATTTATGATATTCATAAGTAGGCCACCAGTAAACAAAACAGAGGGTGCCAACCAGCACTGAAGACAGTAAAAACGTTCCTCTCGGTAAACTGTTTTTCGAGAACGATGCTTCGTGAATGAGGTTAACAGCCAGGGACGAAGTCACTTCCTCCGTTCATCCAAAAGTTACGATCCTAGTAGTCTAAGTAACCCGAATCGCATAGAAATCGATGAAATGGACACACTCAAAATTCAAAGCATCTACTAAGATCTTCCTGTTAGATTCAATATTATTTTTACTAGGGGAAAAATATCCTCGACATTATTGCATGATTCTTAGACAGGTTGTCCCTTCAGTTTTATTTTTCTATATGAGATTGACATATTCATAACTGTCGAAATATAAATTAATCAGCATGATCAACAATAGATATAACGTATTTAAAAAAATATGAATAATGCGTCTCTCAATTATTGAATATGAATACGTGATTGTTCTGATATAAATATTCAATACGATGACTAGATTTGAGCTAGTTTTAGTGCAAACAATTATATCTATATTTCAACTCGAAATGTTACTAAATCTTTTTCAACTTGCACACGAAAAATGAGATAAAAGATTTCTTTTTTTGATAGACAGTCCTTGGTACACTTTTTTCTCATTTAAATGATAATATTGTATGTTTTTTCTCTTCACATGACTGAGTTTATATGCTCACACATTTGCTTGCTCTTTTGATTTTTATACTGTCGATGTCTCCCGTTGAAGGGTACAAAAAAAGCTCCATTCGTATTCATAGTTTAACGTCTCTCGCTTTTTCTTTTCGCATCTCCATTTATTATGAATATTATTGACATCATCATCATTTGATCGAAATGGTAGAAAAACATTTTCTTTTCTCTTTTAAATTCTTTATCATAAAATGTCACTCTTATATAAATTAATTCGTTTTTTTTCCCGTCTATTTGTATTTACTTTTCACCATTGGAGTATTTATTTGTATTTAAAGGAAATATATATTGATTGACGACAAGGTATGAGCAAGGATGATTTGGCGACAAAGGAGAGCAAACGAATTTCTCCAGAAATAGAACAAGAAAAGTCGCACGATACAACTAACACGCAATCAATAAACGCACAATGCGATTCTCGACATGAACGAATTATTCAGCAGATGGAAGATCTTGATCTTCTTACTGAAACAAAGGTTATTTTGATTTTTAATTTACTTTCAATTGCTAAGATTATTTCTTTACAAAAAAAAATTAATTATTTTTATAACTCATCGGAAAGAAAAATAAAGTTATAAAAGCGAAAAAAAGTGTAAATATGATCATATTATTTTATTATACTGACAGAAATCACATGCGTCATTTGACGCGTTTGATCGTATGTTAAGTTAAAAAGCAGTTTACTTTTCTTTGATTGGATCACGAAAAGAATCACCTTGAAGAAATTCTTCGATATCATATTTTTCAATTTGAAATGTAAATAATTGATTAATTTTAGGATATCGATACGGATTCAGGTGTCTCATCATTGAGACAGTCATCCGATAAAGTGGCTCAATCCATATCACGAATAACTATAACATTCGATGGTGAATTCGACAATGAAACATGTCATCCAACATCGAATGCTTCAGTATTGGAAACAGCTGATTTTGATCGTCGTCCGTCAGATTCTTCATCTATAACTAATTTTACACATACGATGGGATCAAGTGAATTTCGTACGAGTTCAGTAACAAGTAGTCGTACATCAACTATTACTCTGCCATCTTTTATTTTATCAATAAGAAACAAGAATTCAAAACTGCCAGCAACCAATGCAAACACTGCTGAAACAAAAGAAAAGCATGGTGTACGTACATTTATACGAAAAATCTTTAAAACATCATCATCATATGCGCCAAGAAATCGTACGCATTCACAAACAATCTTAAACAGTCAACAGAAAGGTCCCGTATTAAATATTGATGAAGAACGTGGTACAGCTTATCCAACAATGAGTCCGTTACCGATTACGCAGGGTCCAATACGATTATTAGTACTTCGACATGGTGAACGACTTGATCGATACTATTCATCGCAATGGTTAAGACAAGCATTTGATAAAAATGGAAATTTTTGTCGCTTTTCACCAATCTTGCCGTAAGTTAAAAGTAATGAATTTTTGAGTTATTTTAATACTATGATTCGATCGGACAAAAGAGTAGCGACGACGTCAGGAGCAGTTTCAGTCTACTCTGAGTTGAAATACTGACGCCACTACTAGACACAAGGCTTGATAAGCATATAATAAAAAAAATCATGATGAACTTAAAACGCCAATTATGTGTGAAGGGAGAAACATTATTTTATAATCGAAATGTTATTCAAAGTACTAACAAGAAATGTGCTGTAGAGATTCGATTTCATAAATAGACCTATGTCTTTCTCTCTCTCTCTCCCGGCTGAGATAAACCATTTGAATTTTAAGAGATAAATCTAATCAAAATGATTTTTCCCACCTATATGAATTCATGTTTATCTTATATTCTTTTTCTTTTCAATAAAATATAGAGAAACATTACCATTTCGTGCTTCAATTCGTGATTTCGATCTTGATCCACCGCTAACTTACAAAGGTCTCAAAGACGCTTTTCATACAGGTAAATAAATCTATTTATATAGATATGCTATCATATATAACTATTCGGTTGTTTACTTTTCAATAGGCACTGTGTTAAAAGAAAAAGGTATTCATATTAATTACTGTTATTCATCTCCAGCACTTCGTTGTGTTCAAACAGCTGCCAAGGTTCTTGAAGGTTTACAATTACAAAATAAACTTAAAATGCGGTAAAAATAAAACTTATCGATTCAAAGGAAGAAACATGAACTCTTTTTTTCTTTTCCTAAGGATTGAACCAGGTATATTTGAATGTACCGGTTGGTATACAGCGGATGGCAACAACGATACTTTAACAATGCCAAGATTTATGACAAAAAAAGAGTTATTAGAAAATAAATATGTTATTGATAAGAATTATCATGAACAAATGTCGATGGTTGATTTATCTCATCTTGAAAATGAATTAGAATTTTATCAACGTTGTCATGCGGTTACAGCAAATATACTAAAAATGCATGAACAAGAATATATTAACAACATTCAACAAGGACAAACTTCACCACAGCAAAATGTACATATTCTATTTGTCGGTACGATTGCGCTTGCGATTTTTCAACTTCTTGAAACATGAAAAAATCTCTTTTGGTTTTGTTTTTTATTTAGCACATGCACCGAATTTAGAAACATGTACCCGTAAATTATGTGGTGGAAAATTTCGTCCGGATACATTGCCACATGTTATTCGAAATGTTGATTTTCTTACAGTAGATAATAAAATTTTTGAATATTTTTACAAACGGTTTATGAAATGCTTTATTTAGATGACTGTCATTGAGAAAACCGATAATAACTGTGAGAAATGGATATTTCGTCGTAGTTCATTTTATGGCGATGAATTTTGAACTTCTTTTCTTTTTATGTTACTTTTATTTTTGGTGATTTTTTTATTAAATATATACATATGATTTTATGTAGTACGAAGAAAATAGAAGTGAAGTTTAATTTTTGCTTTTCTATTGTGTTCTTCTAGGACGACATCTAGCATCCCATGTTGAATGAATGTGATACAGTGTCGGTATGCGTGCGTGTTGTTGCACGGCTCACAAGTTATTTTCATGAAAATACTTGTATTTTTTTAACAGTTATGAATAGAGGGAATATGCTAATTAATCATTTCAACAGATGGGTTTTGTTAGCACGCTTAAATCTATCGGTAATAGCTACTACGCAGGGCGTTTCGCTTAAGTTGCCAAACCCTTCTCTGCTTGCAAAAGATGACGCCCATTACTGGTATCTGCAAAATGGAAATAACAAAAATAATCACAATGAAAATATTATATAAAAACATTCGAAACAAAGTACATTTTTGTTTATGTAATTATTTTTGCGTTAACTCAGTTCTCGCAAAAATGAACGTAACAAGTGCATGAGTGGATTCGTTATGAAAATGACACAATGAATCATTCACATCCGCTTGTACATCATTCGTTGAATATCGTTTTCGTTATTTATTTCGTTTGGCTATCATTTTTTTTTGTCTTTTTTTGCATTATAAATAAATAAACTGATATATAAAAGTGTAGAAAGTGTAATGATTAAAATTTTTTGTTGTATTTCTGAGTTTTTTTCTTTTTAATATTTTAAAATCAAAATGACAATTAGTTAATTTCTTCTCTTAGATATAAATGTCGCCCATTTGATATTGGCATTGTCAAATATAGAATTTATACAAATATATAAATATATACAATGAACAACTCAACGGCAACTGGGAATACATCTATACCCATCACAAAGATGGTTAATGATTTATTTTTGCAATGGCTCTCATTATCAGATACACGTACAATACTCTATGGTGCTTTGCAGAGTGCTCGAACAAATAGTAAAATGCCTGATCTTGTCGCATATCCGAAGGTTTGTGTGTAATAAAAATCGAAATAAGAAATAGGATATTTATCTACATGAGTTTTTCTTTTCTTTTATCTAGACTTATACAACACGAGGTGGAGGATTTTCTAAACCACAACATTTCGATTCACCACCTGTTTCGCCTGTACCACGAACAGCTTCAAGTCCACGTAGTGGTCTATCTTCGATTCCATCGACTGGTGAATTTACTCCTGGCTTAAGTGGTAATAGTGATGAAAGAAAACAACGTTCACTAAAGAAAAAATATCCAGTAGTAAATGGTAGCCCTGCTTCTAGTACTATTACAAATAGCAACATCGATCAACAACAAGTAAGTTACTATTATTTTTGTTTGTCTTACATGCTTTGCAGCAGTCATACATAATAGAAGAATTATTGGTATCGATCAGAAAAAGGAAAAAGTAGCATAGGAATGTATAACTTCCTTGTATTCTATTTTCTATTTCTTTTCTATCTTTGTTATCCTTCCGTTACATCATACGTGTGTTGTATGTATGTGGAAGAAGAAAAATCTCTCGTCAACAAGAATTGTACGATTACTTCTAGATATTCTCAAGACAGCAATACTCGGTGACAGCATGATATAGAAAACGGGGTGGAAAAAAGAGAAAAGAAGAATCTTCATATTCGTTATTTGTTGACTTAGCCTATCGTTGTATATCTTCTGCATGGAAACTAGAACAACGTTTGTAGGGTAAAGATCCGTATTGAAACAGACAGACAGCTAACAAGACAAAAAAACGAGAGATAGAGAAGGAAGTGGAAAACAACTGATTTTGATAAAATAAAAAAAGTATGTGACGATTTTTATTTCACTATTGACATTGTATACATTTTTATTTTCATTGAGAATATGTACATAGGGAACGAATCATAGTAAATGCTCAAGTCGTATTTGACATGTTTAGATTTTGCTTCCAATACCGACACATACATATATATATATATATATATATATATATGTATATATTTAAGCCGTTTGCCACCCACACAATGATTAGTCATACATTGGTATTTGATGTCAGTCTATAATCTATGGTTGTTGGTGTATTTAAAAAGACGACTAGATACTTCATATAACGATTCGTTTTTTTTCTCTTTCTTTTACTTTCGACATACCAGTTTTTTTTGCGTGCATGCATAACGGTCGAATTTTTTCTTCAATTTTGTTTATTTTTTCTTTCTACTTCATCTTTGGCTCATTCGCTCTCTCAACTCTCTCTCGACTCATAAATGAAGTAGTAAGTAAGAGGTGGGTCGGCACTCATGTCGATTTTGCGGTTCGCCGGTGTACGCACACACACACACACACACAAAGCTTATCACAAGTGTTAAGCATTAAAAAAGGAGAGCGCGCGCAAAAGAAAAAGAGAGAACAGGGAAGAGATGGAACGAGCCAAAACGAATAACGCAAAAAAAAGAAACAATTTGTTATATGAGAAAGAGAATCAAACGAAAGTCATAAAGACAATTCTTCCTCTTACACACTCTAGATGCTAAGATTATGACAATGACCAGTGTTCCTTGCCAGGTGGTTCGTTCGACCACACAGGTTTATTTCAATATACGAATTGATCAGAAACGCCGACGGGCAATACATTTTTGTGAGCAGTGTCGATATTATGGTCGTTATTGTGATGCTATTCATAAAGGTAGAAACGAAAAAACATACACATAAAGATTTATTTTTCTTTTGTTATCTGTCTCTCTGAGTCAGATAAGAAAAGAACGATGAAAAAAAAACATGTTTTTGAATCCATACAGGCTTTTGTCGACCTGTTTCGACACCATTGGCACGTATATCGATATCACCGAAAATTCCCAAATCGCATATCAATTTTGTTTTCGAAAAGCGTTATCCAGCTGAACAAATACAGCAACATATTCAACAACAAATTCGACAAAAATTTACCAATCCTGAGGCTATATGGCCACTTAGACCACAAGCAATAGTAGGACAACAATCTACTATTCCCGATCAGCAACATCGATCGGCTTTCTTCATTTCTGAGGTAGTTGCATGACCAACAGTTTGTTTTTTTATTTCACCAATACTTCTTAAAGAAACCTATCACAAAGCTTTAATAATGAAATATGATTTGAAGTGCAATGCTTGTATTATTTTTTTTCTTCTTTGTTTATTAAATCGTCTCGCATACGTTTTTTTTCTTCTTGTTTCTTAGGTATCCGGTGGAAAAGCTTCACCATCTCAAATAGTCAAATCAGAGCCTTTACCATCTTCATCACCATCAATAACAAGCGCTCTTCCAACTCGACTATCCATAACAGCAGCAGCAGAAACTACACAATCAAATGGTACAATATCAAAACAGACACCCGTCATACAAGCTCGTTTACAATCCCCTCCACCAATTGTTCGTGATCTCTCTCCACCACCTACATCACCTAAATCAACAAGTGTTGGAGTCGCTTCTCTACGTGAACATTTCGATATTGTTGAACAATCACCATCAATTACAAAACCAAAAACTCCATCACGTGCTAAATCACCTGTTTCATCAGTACCTACCGATAATCTTCAACGACAACCATCGAAAACAGCAACAACACCTGTCAAAGAAGTTTCACCAATACCAATATCAGTTGTTAAATCTGAAGAAAAATCGGAAACCGTTGAACCGATTCCTAAATTTTATTTTCCTAATGGACAAATATCAACACCATCAGCTATTGATATATTGCTTACAAGACAATTGCGTCAAGTGAAAGAAGATTTATTTGTACCAAAGCATGATAAATTGCATTTAGAAGATTTTGGAAAATTAGCACAAGTAATAAAACTCGAAAGAAAAATCTTTAAAACTTCTGCATTCATTTCATTTTAGTTATTGGATTTAAGTTTATATTGGAAAACACCATTATTTCGTGCATGTGTACACGACACATTAGGACCAAAAGTAAACATAACATCACATACAACTGTGTCATATTTACAATTTGAATCCTTTTGGAAAAAGTATAAATAGAAATCTATTTTTTTCATCAATCATCTGATTCATATTGTTAACTTAGATTATGTAAAAATCATCATGATCATGCATCAAAATTTATTCATTTACTTGTTGTATCATCACCATCATTAGCAGCGTTACCAGTCAATCGTCAATATTTAACTGTCGATGATTGGGACTATTTAGTACAAGATATTATTGATACACATCCTGGTTTGAAATTTCTGCGTGAAGCACGAGAATTTCATTCAAGATATATCAAAACCGTTGTTGCTAGAGTCTATTATAATTGTAATAGATCATGGTCAGGAAAATTAACTGTTCAAGAATTAAGACGATCAAATTTTCTTTCGGTAAGAATTTCTCGAACAAAATCTTATTAAAATGAATATCATGATACATAAAGATTTAGTGCTATTGAATATGAAGCTATACGACAAATGAATTCTATAAGATAAAAATAGTTTGTTCTACATATACTTGTCTATCAGCTCTAATATACACGTGTTAACCAGTGTTGAGTACTATTGAGAAAATGGAAGAGGCTTATATCTGTTATGCTACGAATAACATCGACGTAGTGTATGCTATCTATTTTAAGACGGATTATTATATTTTGTACTCGATATGTTCTTTTTTGCTTATTTTTTGGCAAACTTTCTATAAGTATTTGCATTCACGTTTTTTCTCTCTTTTTATTTCAAGACTCTCGATCGAATCGAAGAAGAGGAAGATATTAATCGTATTCATGATTATTTTTCATATGAACATTTTTATGTAATTTATTGTAAATTTTGGGAATTAGACTCTGACCATGACTTGTTAATAAGTCGTGATGATTTGGCTAAACATAATAATGGAGGTAAATATTAATTCTTTTGTTTAAAAGTAATTGATTTGTTTATTTTCCAGCTATTTCAAACAAAATGATCGATCGAATATTTTCGGGAGCTATATCAAAGTAATATATAGAATAAAATTTATTCGCGTGATTTAATTTTTGATAATATTTTTTGTTTTGCAGTAGTCAAAATATGCGAGAAGGAAAAATGTCTTATTATGAATTTGTATGGTTTCTAATATCCGAAGAAGATAAACGTTCCCCAACAAGGTAAGCAACAGTGCGTGCGCAAGGGAATAATTTCTGAAAAATAGTATGTTTGACTTTAATAATTAGAATACATCAGATAAAAGATCAAACTTTTACAACTCATTCTCTAGATTTTCTCAAAACTGTTTAGCCAATAGGTACTTCCGACAAAGAGAATGTTCATGAATAGAATACGCTGCCGCTCAAATCCGATATTCTTGAAATTTGCGTATGAATATTGGAAAAGAATTTTTCTTGATGCGATATTATTTTAACAATTAAAAACAAATTCTGATTTACTCTAGAGGTAACAGTGAAAAGAGAAAAAAATGTAGTGTCTCTAAATGGTGTGGCTTCATATAATGTTTGTTTAAATAAAAACGAAGCTTTTCTATATTTGTTTTAGTATTGAATATTGGTTTCGTTGTATGGATTTAGATGGCGATGGTATATTATCGATGTTTGAATTAGATTATTTCTATCAAGAACAAGTACATAAAATGGAAATATATGGTATTGAATATATGCCATTTGAAGATTGTATATGTCAAGTATGCATAAATTTTTACAACAAGCGTAGATATTTTTTTTCTTAAATAATTCTATTGAATTTAGATGCTTGATTTGGTTAAACCAGAAGAAGAAAATAAAATTCGTTTAAAAGATTTGAAACGATGCAAATTAACCAATGTATTTTTTGATACATTTTTCAATCTTGAGAAATATTTAGACAATGAACAAAAAGATCCTTTTTCAAATGTTAAAGTAAATATTTGAATTTTTTTTCTTGTTTCATTTAAAACAATAATAATTATCTAAATTTAGGACCCCGATTCACCTGAAATATCTGATTGGGTTAAATTTGCTGAAGCTGAATATGATAATCTAACTCATGAAGATGGAGCCAATGAAAACCTTGATGAAGTGTAAGATACAAGAAAAAGAAATTTAGCTGTTTTTACTTTTTACTTTATTTAAAATAATAGAAATTATGACGATGATTTTGAAGAGGACGAGGAAGGAGCTGGAGGACCTTCTACTGAACCATCGACAAACAAACGAATAGGTCTTGGTGGTGGTAGTGCAAGTAATGCTATTTCTCCGCCACAACGAATTGGTACGAATATTAAAACAAACGATATGGATGAACGATGGAAAGATTAAAATATATCGAGTTGAACGACTTTACCCGTTCGTCTTTCTGTCGTTTGCTCTTGCTATTTTTTTTTCATCTTTAACTGTCTTCTTTTTTGTACTATCTGTTTTTCTTTTTGTCTCTCTAACGCAATCTCGGAAAATGTACGTCTATTCTATTCTGTTCTACTTTTTTTTTGTTTGTAAACAAATGAGAAAAAACATAATGAACACTTTATTTGAGAAAATTGATATTTCGCTATTGACTAAAAAAGCAGGGAAATTCGAATTCATAGTGCAAAATTGTTGAAATCATACCTGAATATTGTAAATATATATTTAAGAAAAAACAAAAAACAAAAATTTTTAATTCTCACATATATTTCGTTTGATTAATGATTTATTATTATCGATATCAGATGAATGGTAAGACATTTTTCAATGGTTGATTATTAAAAAAATCTACAATATCTTTTCGTTTATGTTTGAGACTAAAATGAATAAGAATAAATGTTATATGAGGATATTGTTCAACAATCGGTCTAAGACCATTCCAATGTGTATGTCCTTTATCATTCGATTGTTCACCATCTAGAAACGAACATTCACAAATGATAACAGGCATTTGATCAAGTAATACTTTAGCAGAATTCGATCCAGGTGCGAAAACATCCGGTGTTGTATCACCGAGAAAAGCGAATAAAGGTACATTCATTTGTTCTGTTATATCTATGCCTTGTTTTTTTATTTCTTGAATTTGTTTACCAGTTAAATGCTTATAATCAGATTTAAGTTTCTTACGTCTTTCATAGAACACATAACCAACACAAGGAACTGTATGATGACAATTGATAATTTCAACAGAATAAGAATCATCTAATTCTATGGTTTGTTTTTCTAAAACACCATGTAATGTGTAACGTTTAGCACAAGTTGCAATAGCTTTTTCATCACCATGATCATTTAGTAGTTGAGCACTTGTAAGATAAGCATTGAAATGTTGTAAAGATTCATTGGGGACATAAATATCAAGCGGCATCGGTGACGACGGTGAATACATATACGGAATTTGAAATGAGTGATCACTATGTGAATGTGTTACAAAGAGACGTCGAAATTTACTCGTGGTAACAACTGTACCGGCATCTAACATTATATCCATTTCGGGTACAAATAAACCTGTTGCCTCACCTGCTCGAGAAAATCCAGTGAGAGTCAGACGATTGTCGAGAAATTTGATTGTACTCAACGAATACATTATGTTTACTATATCTGTACTACGAATATGTCTGTTTCACTGCAATCTGGTCACTCTATATGTGTGATAAAACAGCATTGACTATAAGTCAATAACGAAAACAGTTGATGACGAATAGTAATTGCGCAATTTAATATTTGTGCTATGTAATTTCGAGCAATGTTGATATATTATTTATGAATTTGATATCTCAATAATTCTACTAACTATTGGTTTTTATTAACTTTTTGGTAGATATGGATATTATGGCAGCCATTGTATGACAGTACAAAAATGCTTTAATCGCCAATCAAGAAATTCATATATATAATTGATTGAATAGCTGATTGGAAAAGTACAATTTGAATTTCACTTCAAATAGAATCTTTTTGTTACTTGAATAAATATTATGCATACCAAAATAAATCCTAGATTGAATTGACTCTTGTAGATAATCTAATATGCGACATATTTATTTTACATAATATAGAAATTCTACTCATCAGAAAACTCTTCAGTTTGTATTCTCAGGTTTAACATTAGGGGGTGACCATTAAGAGCTCTATAAGATGATTCAAGCACATTTTATCAACGAATATATGATCGTATACAAACATTTTGGTAAGCTCAAGTAGACAAATATGGAGTATATGTACGTTGAAAAGGACCGCATACTTTTTTTTTATTTCTTCACATATGCATGTATTAGATGGCTCAATATTAGGATCGTATATCTTCATGACGATATACTAATCAAAACAAAGGCTGCATACGGCTTCCGTGTGCAACGGAGAATAAACGAGTGTTGTTTTCTTCCTAATTCAACCCATATGATATGAAGACATGCACACGATCGTAAATACTGAGTTGTATATAAGGTCGTATTTCTCCCGGCGTGATCATTTATGTGTGTGCATGCTTGGCCTAGAAGAAAAGTATTTGACTATTATTTTGTCGCGCCGTTTACGACGAAATACCAGCATAATTTCATATTAACTAATATATCTCCCCGTAAAACATCTCAGCGGATTACGAAGAAACGCAAGCTACTACCATTAGTAAATCAATTTTTTATATTCATGCATAAATACGTATATATGTCTGCGAGGACGAATCGCGTTACTTCAATTAATATGAGTGTACATGAATAGTCGTATATGACTAAACATTATAGTATATTTGTTAGGTGAAATATTTAACAATGGGTGTTGAACTAGACATTCAATTATATGGTTGAATCAATTAATTACATTGTGTGCTATCGAGCAAGGTACACTGCTGACGTTAACGACTATCTAAGATGCAATAATAAAAAACGAAGGTCTTTTTTTATAAAACATGTGCAGTTTGACTAGGTGATGCCGTACAATTTTTCATGTGAATCTGGTTAATGTTTACTAGCTACGCGTTCATATATATAGTCGTTAACGCGAGCATAATAAATAGAAAATAATTGTTTCTAGTGCTTGCGAATGGTCACTAAAAAACAAACAGCTGTCGCAACATTAATCTGGATACGTGCGTTTTTTTTAAATATTTTTATCATATTTTGAAATTAGATTTTAACGTGTTAAGATTAACAATTCTTTATCTTTTGTCGTTATTAATAACCTTGGCTGTATTTTTATTAGAGGTGACAAATTTGTTATGTTATTCTCTTGAAAATAAAAATCAGTATTGTTTTTCTGTTGCTATAAGTTTCAAGCAACAATTGTCATGATTATAGTTCTTATCTATCTTTCGTTCTTTTTTTTTTCATTCAAAATTAACTTTATTACAATCGTCTAGAACATTTTTATTAATCTCTTCATACAAGAATGAAAACAATCCACTAGACGCCTTCCAATTGATCATCTTTGTTTTTATTGGCACAAGTTCTTGAACATGAACATTGATTCAAACGAAAAATTTTTAATAATCTAATAATACTGTTGGTTACATTTCAATATCTTGTTGTTCATGTCCATACCATACGCCAAAAGAATCGATCGAGAGTAACATATTATAATAATATAGACGATCACGCGCAATTTTTAGTTATTCTTCCCAACAGGTATAAATGTCAAAAATCCTTCTAATCGTAGTTTCGAAGTAATAGTCAACTCATTCTCTCTCTCTCCTCTGTCTCCATTGCACATACGTTCGACCTTCTAGTTCGTGAATGCGTGTTACATTATAACTGCATCGTGAAGGTAATGAAGAAAAGAAAGAAAAAAACAAGCAAAGAAAAAAAACTCCTTCGCATTTGTTCTGCCTGATAATATTTTTTGTTGTATTCAATCATTTTCAGTCTAGTGTTTTTTTGGTTGATAAGATCATCAATGACTTCGTGAATCACTTGATAATGAACCGACAGGTAAAAAAAACAATTAAATAACTCGGACCTAAGCAGCATAGTTCAAGCGTTTGTTCCTTCAATTTTTTCTTTTGTGCTGAAAAGAGTAAGATGACCGCAGACACATAGGTTAGAAATGACGCGTTGGTATGTGTGACCATACGCTAAGAGGAGGGGAATAGGAGAAAAAATAGTAAGACAATCGACCGGTAGGACACGAAGGGAGAGAGAGAGAGCGAGCGAATGAGAGAAACAGTCTACTGACCAAACATTGCAAATTGTTTTCTTCGTACAGTAGAGCGCATGTATATCACAAAGTAGAGGGGATAGTTGGTCTTGATTAATACAAACATAGGCAAAATATGCGTCTTCTTGATCCATTGAAACGTGCTTTAGCAATAGAAACATCAGATACTAATCAAGTAAGCAAAAAATAATAATAATTTAACTGTTTATTATAAGTTTATTTCATGATTCATCCTTGAATATTGTACATAGACTAGAAAGAGAAGTAAACACGTACAAATATTTATCGATAGGATTGGGAACCATATATGCTTGACAAATGAATACTTTATTACGTAATTTATAATGAATCTTTTTCTTTAAAGAGTATAGATATCTGATTTATATTTATCGAATTTTTCAAGTTTATAAGAAAAACGATAGAAGAAGTGTAAAGGTTTTCTTTTACGTTGGAAGACAAGTATCATGTTACTTTTGTTTGAAAGTCATCGAGCCATATTGAATGAAGTGACCTTCTTTATTTGAATTTAACTGCATTCAATTCTGAAATTTTTTATTTAACATTACCTTTCTATCTTTCTCTTTTTTTTTTGTTGTCGTCTATCAAATCACACCTCGTTTAATAAATTATATTTGAACAGGATCAATGAGCCAGTCCATGTTCAATAAACAACATGCATTAGTTTAGTATGTGCATTATGAACGTCGAATTCACGAGATTGATGAAAGTTCATCATTAAAAAAGAGCGAAACGCTACTGATTTACGGGATTAATTTTAAATTACACAGAATTATATTTTATTTTATCAAATAGAAGTAAAACTTATATAAGAATTCGAAATAAATACAGTCAAAATAAAAAAAAAAGGAAAAAGAAATGCTCAGTATTATTTAAAGAGTTGATCAACAAACTAGTATACAATTATAAAAACATAATTCATATCATCTAACAGATTCAACATAAAGTATATAATCAGGATTTTGAATACTATTAAGAAATATGAAAGATAGGACCAATTTCGATCCTATCAAAACAATTCATATTGATTTTTAATCTATATATATATATGCAATAGATACCCACTCCAGCAGCTCGATTATCTCAAGGCTTACGAAGCAGTGCTCAATTGCCCTGGAATGATGAAATATCATCAGCAACAGCAAGTTTAGACCAAGCCAGAAATGGATATAATCAACAAATATATATCAATTCATATCCTGAATATGATCCCAAAGTGAGTTATCATGGTTACGACTTGAGTCGTGATGTGTCTGAATATCAATTTGGTGCAAATAATAGCATAAATCAAGAAAATGCTACGGTAAATAGTATTTAATGTGAGTGTAAAAGAATAAAAATAACAATTTTCAGAAAAAACCAATACCACCTCCAAGAAAAAAGCGTTCGAATTATAATTCTCAAAGTGAACTTGCTAACATTAAAAATGGTCGTGACCAATGGTCGGGTCGTTTTGACTTTTTCTTTTCAAGCCTTGGCTATGCTGTAGGCTTTGGTGCTGTTTGGCGTTTTCCATATTTATGCTATAGAAATGGTGGAGGTAAAATAAAAATTATTCAATTAAAATTTTATAATAATCAAAGTTCGTCTTCAGGTGTTTTTCTCATACCATATGTTATCTTTCTATTTGTTCTTGGCATTCCTTTATTTTATCTTGAAGTTAATCTTGGACAATTTACTTCTCAAGGTCCAGTTCAATGCTGGCGAATGGCTCCAATTTTTAAGGGTAAATTTGATTAGAACATTAGCAAAAACTGAAAAATTTCTTTATTCAACAATAATAACAACAATATAGGACTTGGTATATCTATGAGTTTAATGTCATATTTTCTCACGGTTTATTATGCGATGTTACTGAGTTACTCAATTCTTTATTTTATACTTTCATTCCGCTCAAAACTTGAGTGGACTACATGCGGTTCATGGGCCAGTCCACGTACGTTGTTTTTTCTCCGTTGGTTGAAAAATATTTTTATTTTTAATAGACTGTACAGATGATTTTTCTTCATTTGTCATGCCATGTAATTATGAAAATACTTTCAAAGATCCAAATGGCCGTTGTTATACATGGGCAAACCAAGGTTTAGTTCCAATCGGTTGGTGGAATGTAACAAGTCGGATAGCATTTCGAAAACCTGTTTTACCATCAGATGATTATTTCAAGTAAATTTTTAATATTCTCAGAAAATTAATTTTCTCTTTATTTTTAAAGTAATTATATATTGAATAAATCAGCTGGTATGGGTTCTATATCAACAGTGGAATGGCCACTTGCATTATGTTTATTGGCAGCTTGGACTTTAGTGTTTATTTGTCTTTGTCGCGGAATAAAAAGTTCAGGAAAAGTGAGAAAAACAAAATGAAATTTTTTATTTGATAATTTTATAATAATATCACAATTTTAGTTAAGACTATACGTAAGTATGAGTAGTATTAGGGGGACGGCTCTGCATGTGAATATAAAAAAAATTTTTCTATTGAATATCGAATGTTTATCGTTGATCGTTTTGTATTTTGAAATTCCTATTTCTTTTCAATTTTTTATGAAAAACAAAATCAATTTTTGTATATCAATAGGTTGTTTATTTTACTGCCTTATTTCCGTATGTTATTCTTCTTATTCTTGGCATACGTGGTTGGACATTACCCGGCATGTCACAGGGACTCTATTTTTACATGAAACCTGAGTTAAGTCGATTAGCTGATCAACGTGTATGGAACGATGCAGCCAATCAAATATTTTTTGTTTTATCTGTTTCATATGGTGGTCTAATCACACTATCGAGTTATAATAAGTTTAATCGAAGTACACTTGCGTAAGTGAAAATAAATGATTTCTATTGATGAGTAATCTCTCTTGTCTTCTTCTTCTTCTTTTTCCATTATCAAGAAATACATTAATTATTTCAATCTCAAATGTATTAACTTCAATATTTGCTGGTTTTGTTATATTTGCATATTTGGGTTACTTGTCTTATATTACTGGACAAGAGGTTAAAGATGTTGTATCAGAAGGTAGGCAAATATATGATCACGCCCAAAAACGTTGGTAAACAGAAGGAGTTTTGATTGTTTCCATTGAAAAGTGTTAAGAAAACGAGTAGAAATCTGTCACATCGATGAAAGCACTATAAAAATCCGACAGGCATAATTATTCAATTGACCTTTTTTACATAAACTTTTTGCATCTAAAAATTTTTTTTCTTCAAGGGAATATTTTTAGTAAATAGCTTCGAAAAGGTCTTCTGAAGCCTGAAAATAGTTGCGGTGAATTTGATGAAAACCTTGTGAAGACTATTTGCCTATTAAATCTTGTTATAGAATGTATTTTCAATTAGAATTCTTAGCTAATTACTTTATAAGGTTGACTTATTTAACGTTTTAGGTCCCGGTCTGGCATTCATTGTTTATCCTTATGCAGTAACTACACTTCCAGGTGCACCATTTTGGTCCATACTTTTCTTTCTCATGCTGATTCTACTTGGCCTTGATTCTGTGGTAATAAAATAAATATGTGAAATACAAAGTCATACGCACATGTTTCTTTCTAGTTTGCAAGCGTCGAAACAATTGTTGTCGTTATAACAGATCAAATTCATGCATTACGTAGATATAATACGCTAGTTATACTTATTGTTTGTATAGCTCATTTTGGACTTGGTTTACTTTTATGTACTGATGTATAAAAAAAACAATTTTACTAGTGATTTCAATTTCTTCACTTTTGTTTTTGATTTTCTAGGCTGGGATATATTGGATAACATTTCTAGATCAATTTACTGGTTCTTATCCAGCATTTATTATTGGGTTATTTGAATGTATTTGCATTGCTTATATTTACGGTTTGTTTTTTGAAGATTTTATTTTAAAAATACGATAGAGAATTTCCGTTTCGCCAAGACAAGATAGAGAGAAAGAAATGTTCATTTTTTCATGCTCTAGGAGTGAGTCAATTTCATGAAGATTTAAAAGCAATGCTTGGCTCAAGAAATTATGGTGTAAGACTTTATCCAATATTTAAAATATGTTGGCTGTTCATAACACCCGGAATAATAATAGTATGAAAGATACAAAATACGGTTATTCAGAAAATTTCGTTTGTTTACATATTCAAATATTTAGGCATTGATTATATTTACATCAATAAATTATCCACAACTTAAACTTGGACTTTATACGTTTCCTCCATGGTCATATAAACTTGGTTGGGGTTTAACATCTTTAATTCTATCTGGCATCGTACTATATGCGATATATGCTATTATATTTGATTTACTAGTAAAACGAAAAGTAAAAAAGAGCAAATTTATTCGTTTCGTTTGAGATTAAATTTTTGTCCAACTTTATTTTTTAGTCTTTTCGAGCTTTAATAAATCCTGAAAAGAAATGGGGTCCATTATTAGAACAAAATCGAAAGAAACTTCGTTATTATTCTTGTGGACAACAAGGTGCTCTTGTTTCAGCTATTGATCAAATTATAAACCGATCGTTATCAAATCAAACATTAGCTAGATCAAAGGTAAGTAAAATAGAACAGAAGTTCACTAATGATAAATAGTTCCCAAAAATAAGTGAACCTATCAGACGCATGTCGGTTTGTAGAGTTCAATTAGTGAACTATTTGAACAGAAAAAGGGATCGAAAAGTAAGTTCTATCTCTTAGTATTGAGAAACTTAGCATAAAATTTCTCTTCAATGATTACATATACATTTCAGTCATAACTATGTGAAGATTTCAATACTATGAATGTATCGAGTTCTAGTGTTCTCTTTTTTTTTTATTGTTGTTGAAAGGTTATCTGATTTCAATCGCGTGCTTATCGACTTATCGCATGTATGCTAAAAATGCACATTGATCATATGTCAAATATCTTATTTATCTACTGCATTTTTGACATAAGCATGTGCGAATACATATTCAATAGAGTATAGGGTATTGAAAACGAAATATCTCGTGTGACAGATTTGAAACAATATTCTTCGAGAATATTAATAAGTTTAAAACAAAAAGTTAAATTCCGCATTCATATAGTATTGTATTATTCAAATAAATATTTAGATTTTCGACATGATCGTTTTCAGTTATTTTTGTGAAACTGAGCTCAGCCTAAGTCGTTAAAGTTTCTTCTCTCCCTTTTTCCAATGGAACGCTTTAAAATAGCATGATCAATTCATTGAAAATTTGTATTTAATCAGTAGAAAACAGTCACAAACAATAAAAGATATTTTCTTATGAGATGTCGATCTTTAAAAATATAATCTATTATCAACAATATTCCATATTTATCTATAATTAGCCATCACCGTCATTCATGGATGATGATCGGTAAGATGATTTATTTTTGATTGCACTTACTCTGCTTAAAAACTCATTTTTATGCTTATCTTCAGCTTATAAAAACGAAAATTCTCAAATAGAAAACTATATAAATGATGATTATTTTAGAGCACAGACACAAGCATCAATGAAAAGGACGGATCGCTTTCGACCACACGACCACCAAGTCGAATCGGAAGTGAGTCTGCTGTCTGACTTCAGTCTGCAATCGCACAATGGATTTCCTGTATAAACATTTCACTTTTTGTAAACTTATCTTTGTTCGATAGGATATATATAAATAAATACATTTAAAAAAATAGTGTTAGTACCATGTTATCACGCCTTGATTAGTTAATATCGGTTGAAATTTACTGTCTCGAGTATCGTTAGTATATGAAACATAATCTAATTCATCTGATCTACGACCCACAACACTACGTTGTTCAAGATATCGACCGACTGGTTCTGCATATGGCAATGTGATGCTTCGATTCCAATAAGGTTTTTCTATTTGTAATATTTCTCGGATACTCTTTGCAATCGACTAAAACAAAACAAACAATTGACCATTTATTATCCATTATTTTACAAAAGTTTATCTCGAGAGCATTCTAATTCAATATTTTTATTTCTTACCATAATATGTTTGAAATCTGTAATGCCAAGCGAAGGTAAATGTGATGCATCACACCATATTAATCGACGTCCATCGACTTTATTTCGAAGGAAGCATTCCTTGACACAAAAAACGAAATAAGTTTAACGATGAATTATTCGTAACATCATACTCGATATCGTGGGAAGCCAAGCATTTGAATAAAATCGGCAACTTCATCACATGACCAATAGAGAGCACCCGAAACTTCACCGCATTCTATATCACGTGCTTTCGTACGTTCTAATAATACCTTATCTTCAGTTCGGCCGAGGCTTTGTAAATCGGTCATAGTCATTGCCATATTCGCCATTTTCGAGTGATTTTGCTTTTGAATTGAAAAATAAATCTGAAGAATAATAATATGTCACAACATATAGGAAACTTTCTTTTCTGAAAAATATTGTAAGCAAAAAAAACTGCTAGTAAGGTAAATCATTTCTGTTTTCTGTCGAAAATAAAATCGCTCACTACACATGCAAAACCAATATTGAGCTAGTTTTAAAAAAAAACTATTTTTCATACGTTCAACATCAAAGAATTCAATACAACGGTGTGAACGAATCAATATTAGAAAAACAAAAGAAATTTTCTATGGTAACATATACTGTACTGCTTCAATTTTATTTTATTTTATAGAATTCAACTTTACAAATTAGCCGTATCGTGCGTTGTTGCTTAGTATTATCCTTCGTTTTTTAGAGCAAAACAGATGTTTGTATATGGCGCCATCTATTTCACAATTCATAAAAGTTTAGTAAAATTCAGGTATCATTATGTTTCTCTTTCTGTTGAAAAAAAGAATTGTCTTAAATTAATTTAATTCTTTTCATCAATATTCATCTTTTCTACATTGATTGAATACAGTTGGACGGTCTCAACAAAGGCGCTTTCTTTGTTGTAGCGTCGGCTCTGTTCTCTATTCAAAGCATCGTTCCTTGTATCAATCGATGTGTTATAGGTAATATTTTTTTCAGGCAACCTTACTATACCCAAAACAATGGAAGTCTCAGCGGCAGTCAATTTCAAAGCACGATTACAACGTTTGATAGCTTACCAAGATGTATTTGCACGGAATCATCTATTAGCACAAAGAAGTTGTGATCAAGGTTTGTCTATAAACATCTTTCATTTAAAGCATTGAAATTTTTTCTCTTTGATAATAGAATTTAGTGCTTTTCTTAAATTTCACAATGAACTTCGTCGGAAATATGGCGAGTTACGTACATATAGTGAACAAATGGATCGTTATATTGAACAATATCGAACAGAATTATCACGTAAAGATAAAAAAATTCAATCACAAAGGTACTGATAGAGCAAATCTCATTACAAAATATGTATGTTCTTTTATTTTTTAAGCTCACAAATTCTACGTTTAACTCAACATAATAAACGTAGTAATGAACGTTTAAATGAATTACAACGATGTTTAGATCAAATCAAAGGCACACTAACAGGACAAAATGCTTTTGATCAATTACGCGATATACTCCGGTTTGTTTTAAATACTATTTGACATTGTTTTGTCTAATAAATCCGTTTTTCTTTTTGTTGTATAGAGATTCTGTCTTGTCAGATAGTGAAACAACAACAGATCTATCTGATAAGAATTGTACTGGAGAAGAACTTGATTTCGAAAATTTACATAATTTACCAAAAGTTGTCAGTCAATCAACAGGTGTTGGTGGAATAAAGCGACCTGTAAATTCCGTTGATCCGGTAGATTTTAAACGCCCAAAACACGATGAAGTGAGAACAAAAAATAAACAATCTTATTTGCCAAAATTCACTATCTAGCGTTTTCAGGCTTATTCAAAAGGTCGTATTGTTGCAACAACGACAACAACAGTAGATATGAATGATTTAAACAATGGGCCTGTTGTAATAACATCAGAAATTCATCATGAAGAAGATCAACAACATCGAGCAACAGCAAATATTGCTGATCAATTAGATACATCACCTTATTCAAATATAGCTATCGGAAGAGCGCCAACAGATCAATATGCATCACCAATGCGTCCACCAAATCGTCATTCATTATCAGTTCCACGACCAAAACAAAAAGCACGCAAACCATCAAAACAATGGCTCGATAATAAATCAGGTATGACAAATAAAAAGCTTTTTTCTGTTCTCGGATTCAAAGTAAACGTTTTCTTGAACATTTCAGAAGAATCAGAATTGAGTACTGATGATATATTTTGGTCAAAACATGATGAAGATCTACAACAACAAAAACAACAATATCAAGCTTCTCTTTATCCAGAATTACCAAAATTGACAAGTCCACCGTCACAACAACAAAAGACCTTAACACCATCAACACCTATTCATCAGATTGCAACACCAACTAGCCTAATGAAATCAAGTCCATCAAGTATTGGTACATTACGTGCACGTGCACATAATTTTATTTCAAGAAATATTCTCATACCAGAAACTTGTTGTGTGGTATGTAAACTAACTCGAAAATATTTTCTTTTATAAATATCGATTTATTCTAGTGTCTAAAGCGAATCCATTTTGGTAAATTAGCTTATCGTTGTCAATCCTGCAGTGCCCTGTGTCATACGGGCTGCAAAGAAAATTGTTCAACACTTTGTTTACCTAATGTTAAAACACCAAATCGTGGTGCTGTATCGAAATTTACTCCACGTGAACAAAATCAACTACAAGTACCTGCGTTACTTGTACATTGTATCAAAGAAATTGAACAACGTGGTTTACAAGAAGTTGGAATCTATCGATTAAATGTGTAAGTATTTTTAAAAATAATTATTATGTTTCTACTACTATATCAGTAGCTTTAGTATTATGACCGAGAAACTTCTAGAGATCATATGAAATAGAAAGGACTTTGAGGGAAAATTCTCTTCCATCGTCTACGGTCAGACAGAGTCTTAGTGCTGCTCCTAATGGCTTCGCTCATAGTTGATCATTTTTCTCAAGAATTTAAATATCATTGAAAAGCCTTGATATTTTTTTGCTTCTAGTGTTGAAGGTCAAGTAAAAGAACTTAAAGAACGTATACTTAAATCACGTACAGGCTTATTTGATTTATCACATTATAATGATATACATTTAATCTGCGGTGTGGTGAAAGATTTTCTTCGTTCATTATCTGAATCATTACTAACGAATGCTTTATGGAAATCATTTGCGACTGTTATTGACGAAGAATCCGATTTTATAAAACAACAAAATTTCGATTCCCTTATTCAACAATTACCAAAACCAAATCGGGACACATTAGCATTTATGATTCTTCATTTACAACGTGTTGCTGTTGCACCACTATGCCGAATGCCTATTCTTAATTTAAGTCGAACTCTGGTAAATTTCTTTGTAGAAAAAAAACTTGACAGGCGTCTTTTTTCTTTAAATTAATTATTATATAGGGACCAGCAGTTGTTGGTTATTCATCAAAACATGTGTCTGGCATTGACATTGTTGGTGAAACTTACAAACAAACGAAAATCTTAGAATTCTTTCTTAAAATGTCTTCTGATTATTGGTCGAAATTTTTAATTGAAGCTGAAACTCCTGAACCATCGGCACCAGTTAATAAACAACAAATTGGTACGCCTATTTTAACACGTCATCATCATTATCAAAATACACCTCCGACAAATTACACAACGCCAGCAAATACATTCTTTTCACCATTATAAAAAACAAATATAATTATCTTCATATATATATATTAATATATTTAGTCGAAATTCACTTCGATCTTTTTTACTTGTCTTTATTATTGAATTTCTTATCTGTAATATTTGTTCAAATCCTTATTGTTCATTCTACTCTCCCCCCGCAATGCGAACCCTTCTTGTCTTGTAGATTTTTTTTTCTCTTATTTGGATGTGCGTATATTATACTCGAGAGTTCACGAAATAAAACTAATTATATGTGTAGAAAAAAAAACAATCATCTTTATAATGATGCCAAGCAAGTTGAGGCAAAATAATATGATTTTATTTATGCTTGTACAATCATAGCATTGCTAATTCAATTTCTGATGATGATGTTAACAGCCATCGCAAACAATCGAACATAGATTCCATTTCGAATACTCATGAGAGGAAAGTTAGAAATTGAATTATTCATTTATATGAAAATATGAGTGTTTAATGTCATGCATATTTGTATGGCTTTTGATGAAAATGGATTTAATGCAAACAAAATAGAAAGCCTATGCAATCAATCGTTTCCGATCAGTTTCTGAAGTTGTCTTGAAGAATTTTCGGTGACGCATGTGAAACAATTCATACCCGTTTGGAAGCAATTGTTGGAACTGATAAATCGTAAGTTAGCGTTTAATGATATTGAAATACTCATTAGTTAATATGAGCCTTTTGAAGAGAAATGTTTTCAAAGCTTCGATAATTAATAAAATTTAATGTGTGATAGAAATTTTAGCTGATATTAACGAAATGAATATCAACAGAAATGACGATTTTCAAGAGTACGATTCAACAACAGCCAATCTTTTTTTTAAATAAGAATCTGACATTTTGCATACATTCGTGGTTTTATTAATTTCAAAATAGAAGTGCATCTATTCACTCACCTATAAGATATATGGAGTACGGTCAGTATGTTATCTTGAAGAAGAAATCAAAGAAGTACAAGCTTAACAAAGAAATAAACGTTCGAGTTTCGTTTTAGATTATTTCTTTTCTATATTTACTACTCAAGCACTGCATATACAAATAGAAAACATTAACATCGAATGCTATTTGCCAAAATAATTTTCTTTTTCTTACTTTCGTATGTTTAGTTGGATCTAACTCAAAATACAGTGGAGGACTCGTCACTAGGGAAAATAGATTAAGTGTAGACAAAAAAGAAACACCATTGAAAGTAAGCGTATGTACGATGATTCTTTTCTTTAAACAAAATGTGAGAGCCGCTCAACTTGACTCATAATACAATTGCGATCATTCCATATAGAATGACATAACATCGAACATATAATGAAGATATCTATTTCATTATTAAATTAAGAAGCGACGAGCTACATACACAATTACGTGAATAGACTAGTCATCATAAGTGGTCAACCGAATTACAATACTAATACAATGAAAGAATATTGAATGATTACATAAAAATGAATCGTCCCATTATCATCAGATCATTACACGTCTTCTAGCTGATTGAATTAGTATACTTACATTTCAATTGAAACTGCATTATTAGAGACATCAATAAAAAAATTTCCTATTGTTATTTGGCAAAACTAAGAATATTTGCTTGATAGACATTGTACATTTCTTTTCTAATACAACACATGTCTCTCTAAAAGTTTATAGTACTACGGCTTCAGATATTTTTTTTGTTAAGTAAATTACAACGTAAAGATATCATTCGTAATTTCTTTTTCTGTATTATACCTCTATATTTGTACAACAATTAGCAAGTATCTGTAGAACAAACTCGAAATATCGGATTGATTATTTGTATGATGTCACGGACTATCAAAATTATGACTAGTCAAACAATAATGTTCATCACTAAATACGTATCATTGCTCATTGCTTGTCCACTCTCAATGCTCTTCAATTAATCGTAATCCGGCACATTCAATTGTTTTATACTGATAAACTCAATATGGCGACAGATTTATGTAGACATGTCGATTTATCTTTATTTGTACATGATTAGAAAACCGTCTAGTCTTTTGTAACCTATGTTTATATGTAGCAGAAAAAACACGAAAAGCTGATAAAACATATTGTGAAAATTATTGTTTGATGGGCATTGCAGTTGATGACGTAATCAATCATGTACATTAGTCGACAGTACGAGAAACAGACAAGATACTATCGTCACTGTCAATTGAGAAAAGAAAACGCCACGTCTGCCAGCCAAATAAAATAGTCGACAGCTGCAACGTTCCTGTGTCTAATGTATGCAATGATGTAATGAATCATTTTTTAAACTTTATAGTAACAGAAAAGCTTCTTTTAGTATATATTGTTATTGTTGGAGGGAAAATGTACGTATATAAATCATATTTCGAACGAGATTTTTCCAAATAAAATTTGCACTCTTTGATTTGATTAATAAGATAAATAGAGCCTCATTTTATTTCGATATTTTTGTTTCGCATAAAAATGTCTTAATCGATAAGAAACAAGCAGTAAAACGAAATTCATTGGTATTAGTAAAATTTATTCTATCCTTATTAGTACTGCCGTATTTTTTTATCCTATACCTCGCTATGATAGATAGTAGGTGGTTGTCAAAAGTTCGCTCATTATATTATTTTTTACTAATAATATATTTAAATATTTAATTAGCTGTGTGATAAATAAAATAATTGATAGTGTTAAATTTTATTAATTAAATGCTTTTTTCCCCAGCATGCAAATATATAATGTTGTTGTAATTGGAAACAATGTGCAACCTCAATATTTTCTCTATACAGTCTGCCAAGAGGAATTTTTCCGCGTCTCATTTTATTGCCGGAACATTTTTATTTTTAGATTTAGATATCTATTAGAGAGAAAAAAAATTCATTTTTTCAAAAACGAAAGTTCTAATTGTTCTCGCATCTCTTATGTCATAAAAAATTTACTCAAGTAGAAATCTTCAGTCTCGAAAGGATTTCTGTCAATTTATTATTTTAGAAAAGAACAACTTTTTGCATAATGACAGTATAATAAATATTTAGCAGATAAAAATCCATTCCAGTAGCTATAGGTTTTAGGTCACATCATATTCGCATGAATTTCATTCGTTTAAAAGCTGCTTTCAACAATATTATATCTAGTTTGATTCATGATGGATCCATAATTACCTCAGGACAACAGACAGTATACTTTTTCTATTCAGATTGATTTGTGCTACTTAACGATATTTCAAGTGCACATTAGGTTACTAAAAAAAGTACTTCCTATTGATCGAAATTACTTTCAATCTTTATAATATAATTGTAAATATGTTTTTATCATCTAGATCGTTTTGTTTCTGTTAATGAATGGTGGTAGAACATTAAAACACCAGGTAATCAACCTGACAAACTGTAACCGCTGAGTACATTGAAAAAATCTCAATGTATATAAGTGGAAAAATAATACAAGCCATTGTACCATTATAAGAGAGTATTTTGATTGTGCGAAAGCCAGTAAGAAAAGTAGTTTAATTCATTAAGAAGATAATAGAGAATCTTTTTCTCTCTTTCCCTAGCTATTCTAATATAGTTGAAAAATCCTTCATAATTCTTCAACTTGTATTTTAATAATAAATTTTCTCTAGGAAGTGTTTGTTATGTAATATGACCGTAATATTAGATAGCATTAATAGTCGATATTTACTTTCTGCATTTAGTTTGATCTGTTCTTGCTTCTATTTCTTCTCCTACAATGCCTTATCGTCTAGTTATTAAGCATATTGGGATAAACAATAAACCGTAGCGGGAAGAATGCAGAAGCCAATTCATAATGAAATTCCTAAAGTGATTCTTCAGATTTGACAGCAGATGTTCGGTTTTTTATTGGTTAGGTTTAGTGAAAGAAAATTTATGGCATAGTAACGATTCTCTATCGTTGTTTCGTGCTGATAGTAAGGTCACGCGTTGTTTGAATAAAGAAGAATATTAAACATGTTCTAAGAATGAAATCAATGAATCTAGTTAAGTGTGAATAACTAAAACAGTGATTACAAGTATTTCATAAATTACAGGCTTTATGAAACTGGTTTTTTGTTTCATCGCTAACATTTACCATATAATCTACTATTTATTGAAGGCTAGACACGATGAAAGATAGGAAAACATTTAACCAGAACAAGTAAATAAATATTCAATACAAAATGGAATCCAGTATTACTGTCACGTATCATAATAAACAGTTCTTGTCGAAATATTACTCTTACAACATTAATTGTCGAGCGATGAAATATCAATGATATGTACAGCATTGTTGTTTATACAATCAGATCATATAAAGAGAAAGTTGTTTTCTTGTCTAAGACCTTAAAATAAGTCCACTACTAATTTTGTCGCGCAGAAAGGATTCGAGTGATTGTTTTGAAATCAAGAAGAGTTTTTAATATAAATTGAAGTCTTAAATTGAAAAACATTTCGAAGTAACTTATTCGCAATGCTTTGGACTACTTTTCGATTTGAAAGGGCATGTTTCTCCCTAGACAATCGCACACAAGCATTGAAAATTAGTCATCACTACTGAATAGTATCCATGAGCGTTAATTGAGTGACTATTTAATAATGACCTAATAATTAATTTAGAGCAGTATAATCAACCTGACTTCAGAAAAAGTCTAAAGAACGCGATTGACAAGTTTAATTACACTACTGTGCTATGCAAATAAATTTTATTGTGTTGCAAATTTCAGAATATCTAAAAACAAATAGACTGAGATAACATTTTTATTATTGCTAAAATAATTGATATTTCAATTGCTTCATTATCTACATAATAGAATATGTATAGTGAATGCTTTTGTCTTTTAAAATATCGCTATGAAAAAGAACCCCCTCTAGATTAGGAATAGAATCGTAATAGAATATATTTCCTTGGAAATATCAACCAAGTAATTAGACAACAAAATAGTGTCGAATCAGCGCAAGAAGCAATACATAAGCAATGTGCTTCTCAATTCGTTTAGAATGACAGTAATAGACAAAATATATCATGGATACGCT